GAGCTGCTCTCCAGCAGGTCAGTGCCAACCTGTGCTGGTGCTTGGGGTTATCCCTCCTCAGGGGCAGGACCTGCACTTGCCCTTGCTGAGTCTCAGTTGGTTCTTCTCCATCTCTCCAACCTGTCGAGGTCCCTCTGAAGGGCAGCACAGCCCTCTGAGCTCTCACCACTCCTCCCAGTGTTGTATCACCAGGAACCTGCTGAGGAGGCAACTCTGTCCCCTCAGTCCCCCGTGGATGAGTAAGTTGAACAAAACTGGTCCCAGTATGGATCCCTGTGGGACACCACTGGTGACAGCCTCCAACCAGGCTCTGTGCCACTGATCACAACTCTCAGCCACTTCTCAATGCCCTTTCCTGACCAGGCTCCTGACACCTGGAGTGTCCCAAGATCCTCCCCACCCCAGGGAAGGCTCAGGGAGTCTAACACCCACAGCAGTGTGCAGGAGAGCCATGGGCAGCACTCAGCTGCCCAACCTGGAAGCTTTCCCACGCGTTTAGGCATCCTCTGTGCTCTCACCTTGCTCCTGGAAGACGTGTGGTGGTGGGTGCTGGTGGATGAACTGTGGTGGCATCTCTCCCGTGCCAGGGACTGGAGGGTACACAGGGTGAGGGTGAGGTGGGAGCAGAGCATGGTGGTGGTGCAGGTAATGTGGCACATGGGGAGGAGGAGGAGGAGGAGGAGGAGGATGCATGGAAGGATGGAATTCAGCTGAGTGTGGCAGCACCACCACTTTACGAACTCCGTTTTCTTCCACCACCTGCCACACAGTGCAAGAGATTAAAGGTCAGGACAGGAGAGTCTTATTGCATAAGGAATCTCTGTGCTTGAGGTCATCTCCACAGCCTGACAGGGACTTGCATCCCAAACTCAATCCCAGTGGAAACCAAACATATTCCTGGAGGGAAGTGGAGTGTGAGGCAGTCAGAAGCTGAGCCACACACATCAGGGCTGAACAATCAGAGAAACACAGGATAGTCTGGGTTGGAAAGACCTGAAAGCTCATCCAGTTCCACTCCCTGCCATGGGACACCTTTCACTAGCCCAGGTGTCTCCAAGCCCCATCCAACCTGGCCTGGAACACTCCCAGGGATGGAGCAGTCACAGCTGCTCTGGGCAACCTGTGCCAGTGCCTCAGCACCTCACAGGGAACAATTCCTTCCCAATATCCCATCTGTCCCTGCCCTCTGGCAGTGGGAAGCCATTCCCTGTGTCCTGTCCTTCCATCCCTTGTCCCAAGTACCTCTGGAGCTCTCTTGGAGCCCCTTTAGACACTAGAAGGGGCTCTGAGGTTTCCCTGGAGCTTCTCTTCCAAGAGTGAAAGCTTTAAAGCTTACTCAGAAACTCCTGATTTTGAGCACTGCTAAAAATGATTCCTGTTTAAACATTTGTTTTTAACTATTTCCCTTTCAAAATGCCTTAATTTCAAGGCAAAGCAAACTGGTGACTTTGAACATCTCTACTAACAGCTCAAACAGCACATGAGGTCTGACCTGCTGGGACTTTTAACAACCCAGAGGAGTGGAAAATCTGAGGATGGAAAAGCCAAGCTGGGAAGGAAGGTGCTCATTCCACATGGCACTGGCATCAGTGTCAGTACCACTGACATCCCCTCCACCCTCTGCTCTAGCACTGGTGATTTGCTGCATGGTAAGGACATCAGAGCAGGGAA